AGCCCAGATGCCTCTGGAGGGGCTTTGGCTCTTCTGGCCTCTTCAGGACTTCAGCTGCCCTCTCCTCTCCTATCTCCATTATCTACCTATCTACCTATTTATATCTATCTATTTCTAAATATCCTATCTATCTAATTTATCTTATCTATCTAATCTATCTATCTATCTATCTATCTATCTATCTATCTATCTATCTATCTATCTATCTATCTATCCATCCATCTATCCGTCTGTCTGTCTGTCTTTCTATCTATCTATCTATCTATCTATCCATCCATCCATCCATCCATCCATCTATCTATCATCTATCTATCTATCTATCTATCTATCTATCTATCTATCTATCTATCTATCTCTATATCTATCTATCTATCCATCCATCCATCCATCCATCCATCCATCTAATCTATCTTTGTCTATCTATCATCTATGTCTGTCTGTCTGTGTTCGTCAAAATGAACTGGGCCTCCCCCCCCCGCCCTGGCACTCAGGAGGGGTTGGACTACAATGCCCAGAATCCACAGCCCGCTGGAGGAAGGTTTGGGGAGTTACACTGCAATGCATCACCCCCTGGAAGGGGCTGCTCCCCAAAGATGGGGATGCTCAGATACCTTTGAGTCCCAGTGGGGTGATTTGCAAAAAAAAAAAAAAAAAGACTATAAAGGGCTTGGATAACCTCGGGATGGGAGACCACGAGGAAATCCTGCAAAAGAGAAAGGTGAAGAACTGCCACCTGCCTGCCAAGAAACTATCTGAAGCCATCCTGGTTTGGTTACCAGAAGACCAACAAGCTAGGAATTGGATTACGGGGTGCAATTTGGGGATTGAAATGAATGAATGAGCCCCCTTCGTTAGGGAAGAAGGTGCCTTGCCTTCTTTCCCCTCTCACCTTGGAAGCCTTTCCCTAAAATTAGGGTTAGGAAACCTCAGTGAAACACATTGGGATTTCCCAAATTGAATTGGGCAGAACACACACACCCTCCCCAGATCTGTAAAGCATTCAAAAGACTTCAGCTGAAATTGGAGAAACTCGTCTCCTCCTTCAACAACAAAAATGTGCAAAATAAAAGGTGTGTCTCATATATATATATATATTTTTCTTAAGTTTTCGCGGGTAATTACATGTATGGCATTCGGCTTTGTTCGGGTATTTTCCCACGTCATTGTAGTTGTGCTTTTAAAGTTGTAGCAACGTTTCGGCAGAATCTCATCTGCCATCCTGAGGCTTCTGTACTGTGTTCATCTGTTCGTACATATATTGCTCAGCATGCTGTTCAGGAAATTTAAGGCAAATTTAAGCCAGTACGTCTGGTTGGGGAATTCTGGGAGTTGACATCCACAAGTCTTAAAGTTGCCAAGCTTGGACACCCCTGCTGTACAGCTAGAAAACGTCTCTCCTTCCCAGCTCTGCATCAGTATCCAGATAGGAATTACAGCTCAAAATCAAACGCTTTTAATAAATAAAACGCTTTTAAGGGCTCCCTCTCCTGACAACCCTGAATAGAGAGGGTGCGGGAGAAACTGTGCATGGGAGCCTCAGTCATTTTGGGAAAAGGAATTGCTCTTTGGAAAGACTTGCCAGCCTTTCATTTCCTCCGCTGTGCCTTTAAGATTTGTGGGGTTGTGGTTTGTAATTGTTGTTCTTGGCTCCGGACAGAGTAGTTTCACAGTTTTTCTGGGCAAAACCGAAAGCAAGAAGAGAGATAGTTTTTCACCTCAGGATGGCAGCCTGTTCCAGGTTGAAGTGTATGGGCAAATTGGAAACCAGCAAAAAGATACAGTTCTACAGCCCTTGCTTCGGGGGCATATCGTGGGCAATCCATCTTGGGGTTTTATTAAGTGTTAGGTAAGTTGGAAAGGGACAATTTGGGTAGATCGGTAGGGAAGGGAGGCATGGGGGAGAATTGGGGTACGGGGTATCCCCTCTCCACATCAATATCTTAAATAACAACCGCAGCAAGAGTTTGCGCTCAAAATTTGATGGTAAATGCTACCGTTTTGACAGGAATTACCGACTTCCTCTGATCTACCATCAAAGAGTTTAAGATGATGTGAATACAGAATACAGCATAACTGAGTTGGAAGGGACTTTGGGGGTCTTCTAATGCAACCTCCTGCCCAAGCAGCAGAAGAGATCTGAAGCAAGATCTGTTCCACTTTGAACAGAAAATCAAGATTTTTGTAAACCTCAGTTTATCCCCTCTGTGACATGGGCACAAAACAAACCTTCCCACTCAAATCTTTTCCGCTGTGTTTCTTCAGCATCGTCCTGTTAGTTGATAAACGCTACCAGAAGAAAGATTCGGTCATCAGCTCGGTGCATGTGAAGGTGAAGGGGGTGTCCCAGATTGAGAACAGAGTTTGGGATACAGCCGAATATACCATCCCTGGGCAGGTGAGTCCTTTTTCGGAGAGCCAGAGGAGAAAACTATCAGGAGAAGCAGTGAAGCGAAGAGTTGAGCCTGAGAGTTGTATTACCATAACCTTGACCCCAAATTTTTCCTAGAATTCTTGGAGGGCACCCCTCTTTCTCTTCCCCTAAATTGTAGGGAGAAAAAAAATAGCCCTCAACCCTCTTCATCACCTGGCATTCTCGTCCTCCTGGGCTTCTTTTCGAAGGAATCCACAGAAGATCTTAAAAAGTCGTTGCAATGGATTTGTTTTTCAGCAGACCAACTTAAAATTCGCTTTTTCCTTTCTCTTTTCGCTCGTTTAGGGTGTGAATTCCTTTTTTGTGCTGACTAACTTCATCACGACCGAAAATCAGACTCAAGGACTTTGCCCCGAGGTACCAGCGTTTCATACCTGCTCTATGTTTTAAAAATAAAAATAATAATTGTATTAAGTTTACCGGGAGCTAAAATGCAAAAATAAATAAATAAATGAAAATAGTGGGAAAAATGGGAGAGGAAAAAGAGAAGAGGAAGAAGTGTAACCTAGAGCGAGGGGAAAAGAAAAAAAGTGAGTTCTGAATCTTTTTAGCATAAATAGTAACATGACATTACAAATGTACATTTTTAGAAATGAAGGCAAACTTTTTAGTTTTATGTACTAATAATCATTTCTATAGCAACAAACTCATCTAATTAGCAAAACCCAAAGTCAACATTTTATACCTGACCTTAATATATAGCGGGACAGGTGAGAGGTAGTGATTTATTTTTGGCAAATGTATTTATATTTAATTCATTTCTATGGATACAGTAATGTATGGTTTGTGTGTCCCACCCAGTTCCCTGATGTTTGAACAAGAGGAAGCAGCTTGTCACAAGTGCAAAGTTCTTCTTGGCAAGATTTTTATTATTATTATTTCCTTCCCATCAGCTAGAAAATTGGCAAATAGCCTCTGGGCTATGTTGTTTTCTACCTGTTTACAAGTTGGCTATGGAAAACAAGGGCGTTTTGTGAATTGTAGGGGAATTTGAGAGAAGACCAACCTGTGAAGAGATCTGTTGTGATGAGGTACTCCAGAGAAGCTGTCCTGGTGGAAAAACTAGGTCATGGAAAAAGCGGGATAATAGGAAAATATTATCCGGATGCAGCTTGTTAGGAGAAAGAGAGAAACTGATAAGCCTAAAAAGTTGAGGTTGTGAATTGGGAAGACTGAAATGGAATCTTGTGCTAGATGTATTTTTCCCTGTTTTATGTTTGCAGTCTCCTCTTGCCAAAGCAGTGTGTACAACCGACAAAACCTGCACGAAAGGTCAAGTGGACCCACAGGGTAACGGTAAGCGAGGTTCCTTTTCGCCCTCGCCGTTGGAAATTCCTTTCCGACGAAATGTTTGGCCCCCAGGTAAGGGTCCTTGATGAGATGGGGGTCTCTTCCCTCGGTAGGCATCCAGACGGGCAAGTGTGTGAAATATAACAGCACCATCAACACGTGTGAAGTCTCCGCTTGGTGTCCTGTGGAGTCATCTAAAGCCGCTCCAAGGTAGGTGCTTTTCTCAGCTGCTCCTTTTCTCAGCTGCTGTATCCTGTTTTAGTCTGTTCCGAATTTTGATCCAAGACGTCTCCTTCCCTGTTTAGTTGCCTTAATGTA